GATTGAGAAAGCAGACGAATGCTTGCTTCTGCATTTGAGGGAGACAGTGGAACTATGGAAGGAAAAAGAGAGGGTTTTTGGTTTCAAGAAATAAAAGAAAGAAGAAACCATGATGGTAAATTATATACTAACCCCTTAGGTTTGAGGTCTATTACAACCTCATACAATATCTTTAAAACATTTCACTTTCATACCTCACGTACTATTTTATTTCAAAATAATACCTCCGTTATATTTTTCATCCATTGATCGTTAAGTGCTGATGTGGCTGCCACAATTGTGTCACGTGACTGCCAAATGTGTGCCACTTGGTAAAAAAAACCTAAATCTTCTAAATTAAAAAAAAAAAAAAAAAAAAGCTGAAACCTTATCCCCCATCATCCTCCTCTCTTCTTCCCCCTGCAACCCAAAAAAAAAAAAAAAAAAAAAAAAAAAAAAAAAAAAAACCACTTCAGTTCGTCTTACCCCCTCTCTTCTCCCCCATCTTCATCTTCTTCCCCCTGACCCTCTACCTGCAACCTAGAAAAATAAAAATAAAAATAAACCCAGATCCCCTCTACACCGCCATCGTTGGGTTCGTGAGGTGGGAGGAATGGGCGTGGATTTAAGGAGTGGAGGGTGTGTAGAAGAGGGAAGAGGGTGGGTGCGGATGTAGGGTCTTCGAGGGGGGGTCACGGGGGTGGGGGTTTTCTTTAAGCTTTTGATTTTATTTTGTTTAGAAGATTCATGTTTTAAAAAAAAAATTAAAAAATTATTATTTTTGCCACATGGCACAAATCTGGCGGCCACGTCAGTGCTTAATGGATCAATGGATAAAAAAATCTAACGGAGGTATTATTTTGAAATAAAATAGTACGTGAGATATGAAAGTGAAATGTTTTAAAGATGTTGTAAGACCATCTCCAATGGTGGGCTAAATGCTAAATTACCCCCCAAATTCCCCCCCCAAACAATCTTCCAACCCATGCTAAAACATTGGGCTAAATGCCAAATGTTAAAGCTGGGCCAAATACCCCCTAAAATTCCCCCCCTCCGTGCGACTGGACTCACTGGCAATTGGGCCAATCTCAGCCTGGTCACTCTCCAAAGTGCCCACGTAGTGCGCTCGCAAACCTTTCCCAATAGGGGTGGGCCCTGTTGTCAGCCGTTTGTCGGCCACCCAAAAATCCCAACGGCTATAATTTGAATCCAAGGGCTTGGTTTAACGGACCGTTGGTTGATCCAACAGTCCATATTCAAATTTAATTTTTTTAAATATGTTATTTTAAAATACATTGAATCCAACGGCTGAGATTGAATATAATCAAATCTAACGGTAAAAAAAAGATCTAATGGCCCAAATTTAAATCCAACAGCTAAAATAATTTAAAAAAAATTATTTAACTCAAAATTCACCCAAAAACTATATAAATACCTATGTATTTGTTCAAACATCCATACAAAATTCAATTTTCTCCTACAATTCTTCCACTCTTTCCATTTCCAAATTGTTCAACATGGCAAGAGAGCATATTGATGGTCGTAATTGGACCTGTGAGGAAGATGTTGCTTTATGTTTGGCATGGGTTTTTGTTAGCGAAGATGGTGCAGTTGGCACATCCTTTTTGTAAGACTCTTGCCTCTGCGAAAATAATTTCTTCTTTGCACTATCGGGATGAGAAAGACTTTTGACAAAGGTAAACCAACTAGGATAAATACCATCAGTTAGGTAGTAACCTAGTTCATACCTATTACCATTTACCTTGTATCGAAATTCCGGTACCCATCCATTGACAACATTATCGAACAAAGAAGAAGACCAAAGAACGTTGATATCGTTGTTTGATCCAGGAGCGCCGAAGAAAGCATGCCAAATCCATGTGTCGTAAGACGCCACGGCCTCGAGCACGATGGTTGACTTGTTATGAAGGCACTTGAATTGACCAGCCCAACCAATTGGACAATTCTTCCACTCACAATGCATACAATCGAGACTTCTTATCATGTCAGGGAATCCTTTTTTGTCTACCTTGCATAGAAGCATCTTCAAGTCTTCACGATTTGGCCTGCAGAGGTATGTGGCTCCATATATGCCTTCAATTGCCTTACAGAAGCGCTTCAGGTTCTCAATAGCAGTACTTTCTGCAAGTCGGCAATACTCGTCAGTTGAGTCTGTAGAGCACCCATTAGCTAGCATGTGAAAAGCAGATGTGAGCTTTTGATGAGGTGATAGACCATGTCGGCCTGCAACATCTAGCCTCCTTGCAAAGTAGTGGTCATGATTGGCAACTACGTTCAAAATGCTTTCAAAAAGCTCTCTCTTCATCCGAAACCGCCTCCGAAAATCATGAGCAAGAAATCTCGGACGCTCGATGAAATAATCTTTCATCATTCGGTCTTGACACTCTTCTCTATCACGCTGCATATATGAACTTCCCTTGACAGAACCATGATGGCTAGATTCGCCATGGTGCTCAGATTGCATAAACGGGTTGACAAGTTCAACTTCGGCGTTGAACAATTCTGCATCCTCAATCTCGATCTTTGTTTGGTATTGTGCCATCTGCATTGACATGCTATGCCTTCTTATCACCCATTGATGATATATTGATGATTTTTAGGAAACAAAAACTCTTTGAAAGTTGAAAGATTGGTGAATATAGAGGATGATTGAAGGTTGAAAGGTTATGTGATCAACAAATATTGGACATATGTTTATATAGAGGATGATTGATGAAAGTTGAATGGTTGGTGAAGGTTGAAAGTTTGGTGATGAACCATTGGTGAATTAAAAATTTGGTGTTGAATGGTTGGTGAATTGAAAGTTAGCCCAGGGTCGAAAGATTGGTGAAAGTTGAAGACTTGCTATGTGAAACATTTAGTGATTTTTCAATATTTATCGGAATTTAAATTTTTTTAGATTAAAATGTTCATAAAATTAATTTACGATAGTCTACATATTTTTTAAAAAAATTAATTTAAGAAAAAAATCGCCTAAGTTCATTCTTTAATAATCCCGAGCTAAAATTTTAGACCAGAATGGTTGGAGCAGAAAAACTATTTTTGGGCTAAAAGCTAAATTTTTCGAGCTAAAATATTTAGCTTTTAGCCCAACCATTGGAGATGGTCTAAAAGGTGTAATAATAGATTTCAAACTTGAAGGATTACTATGTAATTTATCCTTTCTTATTTGATGGTTTCAAAAAAGAAGATGGTTTCTTATCTTATGGTTTCAAGAAATAAGAATAAAAAAAGGAGAAATCATGATGGTTTCAAGAAATAAGAACCAAGTTGGCAAACAATGAGACAAAGAAAGAATAAAAAAAGGAAAAGGTCGTGAACAAAAGGGATTTGGATCCTCTCTTGAGCTAATGGAGAGGATCCTCCTGACCCATCATCATGGGCCGTTGGATTTTTATCCAACGGCTATAATTATTATAACTTTAAAGGGACCCCCCTATTTGTAGCCGTTGGATAAAAATCCAACGGCTCAAGATGATGGGTCATGAGGATCCTCTCCATTAGCTCATGAGAGGATCAAAATCCGAACAAAAGTTATTGGCCGGAGGAACGGCTTGGTGCTTGATTAAATAATATATATATTGGTTTGGGATTCCCAAAAAAGGGAAAATGAGAGGCCGATTCCTATACCAAACGATTTGGGATTGATATCAAAATTTTCAGGATTTTTTTTCCAGCCCTAGTTGCAGCCGCTGTTCTACAACTATACCTTTCCGATTCTATCCTTCACATAAATCAGGTTATCCTTGCATAGCGTCGCCCAACTTCTTCTAGACCAGCCTAATCCCGTCTAGATCCGACTGATTAGAGGAGCAGCTACCCGCCCCTCTTTGCGCCTCTGTATATGAAGGGCAATCGAGATTTTCGAGAATTTTCGGGATTCCCGATTTGTCCCGAAATCCCGAAACTATTTCGGGATTCCCGAAAATTTGGTTTGGGATCGGTATTGAAATTGGGATTCCCGAAAATTTAGGTATTGAAATTGGGATTCCCGAAAATCTCGATTCCCAAACCGAAATTTTCGGGAATCCCAATTTCAATACCGATCCCAAACCAAATTTTCGGGAATCCCGAAATAGTTTCGGGATTTCGGGACAAATCGGGAATCCCGAAATGGTTTTGGGCTTTTGGGCTTTTGGACTAAAATTTGACATATTATGCCTTTGGGCTCAATTTGCCAATTTGTTTCTACTAATCTGCCAATCAAATGGCAAGGCATGTTTGTACGTGCACAAATTTGAGTCCGTGTACACCAGTAAGTAAAAAATGGATTTAATAATGGATGGAAGGAAAAAGAACTAGTAAGTACAATTGTAACGTAAAAAATAATACGCCAGCTTAAATTTCTATATAGCACATAAATCTTTCATCTCAATGCATATGTGAACCATCAAGATGAAGAATTATTAAGGAGGGGCAAGGTATCAAATAATCAAATAATCAAATTTATATTCAATGGTTGAGATTAAATCTCAACAGAATCTGACGGCTATTAAAATTCTAAATATATATTTAAAAAATAAACAATATATATATATATATATATTTTTTTTTTTTGGTTCGGTTTAGGAATACCGAAATCCTAAAAACTTGAGACTGATTCTCGTATCAAAATTTCGGGATCAGTTCGGTATTGGGTACCGAAATTTTCGAGAATTTCGGTTTGGGATTTTTTCGGTTTTGTTTCAGGAATTTTTTGGTTCGGTTTGGGATTTTTGGGATTTTTTTCCAGCCCTATATAAAAGAAGATAAGGATGTTGTTTGAAGTAGACCTTCAGTCCGTCCCTCTAGAAACCATTCCGTACTACTTTCTTGTGGCATTTCATTTTATTGTGAAAGGTTTTAGGTTCGAATTTTATGGATTGCAAAATCAAAAGAAAAAGAAGATAAGTCCTATGTTTATGTTTTGCCAACAAAAGAAGATAAGATTAACATTGCAATCAGGCACTAGTCGGCCAGTCCCTCTCATGTCCAACAAAATTATCAAAAAAACAATCGGCTTAGGCTTGGATAATTATTTAATTGAACTTGATTGAAAAATTTACGGAGAATGAAGTCCTCTACTCAAAAAAAAAAAAAAAAAAAAAAAAAAAAAAAAAAAAATCGTTTCACCACATTCCTCAACCAGTAAGCATAAAATGATACACACATATACACAAATCCAACTTAGTAGTTTAATTTGATCCAAAAAAATAAAAAGAGCTTGGTGCTTCGTGATTTTCTAGCATGCACCGGATCCTTAACCGTTGGATCCTCGTTCTTTTGTATTATTTACCAGAGACCGCACGTTCAACCATCCATTGTTCCGGTGCATTTTCGTCCGTCCCTACCCGTTCAGTCCCCGTCAATCAGTTTCATGGTCAGGGGAGGGGGAGTACCATGCAGGGTGCGTACCCTTGATTCTAAGGAGCCTAGTGAAGGGTGAATCCGGCATTCTTCCTCTTTCTTCTTCCTCCATCTCCTCAGCCGATTTCGGCAACCCATCCGGTATGGGACAGAGTCTCTCCGCTTCTTTTCCCACAACCGACGGCTTTGACGAGTTAAATCCGTACTTCTTGTCTTTCTGGATTGCTGCAATCCCGTGTAGGCATCCCACCAACGTCTTCACACCTCCTGCTTGGAGAATCAGCTTCTCCACATCCTCTTTTGGCGTCTCCTTCTGCACCAAAAAATATTTAACTTTCAACATTTTCTCAGCAACCAAACAGTCTGTATTTTACAGGAAAAGAAAGTGATGAAATCTACCATATACCTCGAGATCCTTGAGCTCGAAATAGGCTCTCCAGCAGCCATAGGACTCGTCTCCTTGGAGCGTCGAACAGTACTCTGAGCCAAAATCACAGAAATCGAATCAATAAATAGAAAGAAAAAATTCATAAAATGCAATGAAAACGAGGACCCGATACAACAAAATCAAAATCCAATTCAGATAAACTAATAAAAAGATCAAAAAATTGAAATTTACGAGATGGGTACGAACCAGAAAGCTCGTTCTCGCACTTTTCAATCAGGGGCGGGTCTTTAATGCCGCGGTCAAACTTTGACCGGCTAAAAGGCTCGAGCTTCGGAATGTAAGAGGGATTTCTCGACGAGCAACAGACAGTGGACGCGAACTTGGGCGTTGTTGCCGTTGACGACGACGGAGACAGTCGTGTAGTGGGATAAGCTTCTCGGTGTAGAGGAGAAGACGACGGACAAGAGCGAAGCATGACTGACTTTATCATTGGGTCCAAACACGCGCAAAAACTATCCCCACTCTCTCTTGGATTTTGCTTCTGCGGACGCTGGTCTCTCTTCTTCTCAGAAGATGGTTATTGCACTAATTGGATTGGAATCATTGGATTGGATTGTGGATTACAGGGGAGATGCTATTTTATACGAGAAAGGCTCGGCCGAGTGGATAAGGATTAAGTCTCAGATAGGATATTTGAGCGGTGATAAATCCAAGAAAAATGATAAGAGACTGTCAAATTATGTTTTTTATATAATTTTTTTTTGAAAGATTTAACAAAATATTTCCGGTAATGTTAAGGATGTGCTATCTACACATTTTTTTTTACTTCTTTTACATTTCTTGTTAATTTATGTCATTTGATCTTCTTCAATTCATCCGATCCGACAGCCAAAAAATTAAAAGGGTGTGAGAAAAGTAAAAAGGGCTGTGTATATATCACATCTCAATGTTAATATCAAAATTATTCAAAAAACATGAGGTGATGGAGAGTGATAAAGAATCTCATTTTGAGAAAGTTTATTTAACATTTCTCTAAAAATAATTCTAGCAAAACCAAAATTTTAAATTAAATGATATGTCACTAATAAGAGATAAACACATTAATCGATACTTAATTAATAATCTAATAATTTACAACTACATCAATTGATTGCAAATATAGTTTACAAAATTTGGTTTCATGATTTTTTGCGGAAAGGGATCCTCTCCAGACTCCATTCACCAAATCATCATCATCAAACAATCTGAACCCTTAAAATTTAATTTAACAGCTAAAGTTATTATAACTTTTAAAGTGAACCTGTATTTTTTTTAACTGTTGAATCAAATTTCAATGATCCAAATTATTTGGTAGAAAGCGTCAATGTGGCACCGGATTATCGGTGGTGGAATGAGTGATGTCGGAATAAGCAACACGCGGCGGGTTGTGCGAATCAGTGGGCGGGGAAGAGAATAAACAGGGACACATGGTGCAGTCTGCGTACTTTGATTTTTTCTTTTTGAAGTGACCATTTTGTACCTGGAGATATTTGTGGAGGCAATATACAAACAAAAAGGGTCCAATTTTTTTGCTTGTTTTGCCTTTTGTATATTTGAATGACCTGGTTCGACTTTTACATCCTTTTTTGCATATAAGGATATTGGGGTGACAATTCGATCAAACACAAAATAGATCATTGATAAATTGGTATTGAACTTTATTACTATGAGTCTTTTTGGACTCGTTTTTGCACACATTCCGTCTATATATTTTAAGCTGTTGGATGAATAAAATTATTTATACCTAGTTTTGCATTATCGATTCGCTTAATTGAGGCCGTTTGATGAATTAATATTTTTTACCATATTACGTACTACCAGCCTTAATTATCGTAGTAATTATTTTGAAGAAATATATTATGAGTTTAGAAGATGAGGCTGAAATGTGTAGAATGCGCTCTGGTAGACTTTATCGCATTCAGTTGAGTTAATCCCTTGATTCCTTGAATAGAAAAAATCAATGTGATATGGGACACACAGTAATTGGATCATACTCATATTGGGAGGCTTTATCCCTGGATAGATAGTGTAACTCACGTGGAAACAGTGCACTTTGTGTATTTTGTCTTCAAGTTTATCCCATGTTCAGCATGCGTGGTTACTGGATAGATTTGCACTAAGTGTTAGTTCACATTCAAGTTACTTCATCAGAGATTGAGTCAACATATCAAGATGATATTCTATAAGCTAAGATTACAATTGGACTCTACACAATGATCAAGCCGTCAAGTAACATGGTGCTCTATAAATGCAAGCTTGTTGGGAATATAGAAAGAACCTTCAACTCAACATACAAACAAATGTTGTATGCGAAACCCTTTCACACCCCTCAGAAAAATACTAATTGCTATACTAACTCGTCAACACAAATTCAGTTTGGTTAAACATCACTGGATTGACAAACCGACACAAATTCAATTTGGCTAAACATCATTGGAGTCTTATAATCAGCATGGTCTAAGAGTTTCTTCAATTTGGTTAAATAGTGTTTTCTCCTCTTTTGACTGATTATCTATTCCAAGTCTTAGACAACAAAGAGTTTTTTATTCTTTCGCCGATCGATGTCACTTCATCATTTTTCTCGCTGAAGTGGGTGTTCTATGATTGGTTACTCAAAAGTATCATTTAGAGTTCAACATTCAAACGGTCGAACAACATTCACCATAAAGACGCTCATCTCCTTTGAGTATTTTTGTCCCTATAGTTTGATACTGATTCGACGCACCTATATTTTTACCAATATATGTGAAGCGGCTGAACAAGATCCAGAGGTTCGTAGTAAGTTGCATAACCTTGTGTTCATGTTATAGAATCCAAGGCTAAGATTGTTTGTCTCGGCGGCCGAAGTTGCTCGATGAAGAAATTGGTAGCGTGGTTCATGACTCCACCACATCCATCTTATTCGCTTGGTAGCGAGTTGGCACGCCCACTGTTGAGCAAAAATTGTACACCTAGTGTAACAAATGATCCACTCGGCACAATTTCACCCTCGTTTATTTTTTTGAGTAGGGTTATATTAATTTGAGTTCGACCCATTCTAGACTATGAGTCTATTAATTACAATCCTTCTTTAAAAAGGAAATACCCTTTAATTCTAATATGAATAAAGTGTAGCTTGGGAATTTGAGTGTTTGTTCAATTTTATGGTTGTACTTAGGCAAAGGCCTATATTGCTTACGTACCCTTTTGAGGGATCAAGTCACTTGTAGTTCCTTGGAATGGATTTGAAATTCATAAAGTGAATGACCAAAAAAAAAAAAAAAGGATTTTGTGTTTGGTTTAGTTAGATGCTTTTAATTTGTTTAAGTGAATTTGGTTGAATGAACCAGGGATTCGATTTGGATTTGATGGTGAATTTGGTTAAGGTGAACCAGGGATTCTATTTTGTGTTCGGTTTATTTGGATACTTAGGGATACTTTGGATGCAATCCCTAATTCTAAACATTTTTTTATTAAAACCTTAATGGTATTCAAAGTTTGATCAAAGTTTCTTGACTTTGTACACCTCATTATATTACTATTAATATTTATATTTTTATAGTTTTGACATTAATTGTTTGATATTTTATGAGATTTATAATCCTATAAATTTAAAATCCCTCATTATAATACTATTAGAAATGGTTACAATAAAAGAATTCAAACATTTTGATTGAATAAATGGATAAAAACTATGTAAAAGTAAGAAATAATAAATGGCAAAAGAATGTATCCATAGTGTTAAAAAAATTGGTACATTTTACAAAAAAATTGGTACATTTTACAAAAAAATTGGTACATTTCGTATATGTACATTAATAAAGAAGAATGGGTACATTATAAATAAATTAGGGTACATATAAAAGATTAAAAAATTATGAGTACAAATGAATTTTTAAAAAATATAGGCCCTAAAAGAAATTAATACATGGGTACAAAATAAAACTAAAAAGAAAATACTACAAATTTAAAAAAATGGAACTTTAATGAAAAGAGCTTGAATCAAGATTAATTTAATAAAAAACCATCCTAAAGTTTTCTTTAATAAAAAACACCTCAAAATTAATCATGAGGACAAGAGCCCCAAATTTCATACGGGCTGGATTATAGAGCCCAAAATGAACAAAATTAAGTTTCCAAAATTACCCCAACGGAAGCCAGCCTTAGGTGAATTAAATGAAGGATTGTTTGGTACGGATATTCTAGCAGATTCAGAGATTGCCTTGTCATGGTTTCCTTTGAAACCAGTTCCACCTAAAGTTTCAACCAAAATACCAGATCAAAATTGCTCTCGCACCAGCCATCGTTGCAAGCTCGCTCGCTCCCTAGAGTCTTCCATTCGTGGTTGCCGCTATTTTCTACGATCTTCAATTTCAATCAAGATGGTGCTTCAGAACAATAATCGATTTGCTCCATCCACCAGCTGAGCTTGAGAAGAGGAAGCACAAGATCAAGAGGCTTGTACAGACCCCCAACTCTTTCTTTATAATATGGATATTAATCGATGGATGCTTACGCTTTTGGGTTTTGTATTTATTCTTATTCCCTCGTATTTATTCTTATTCCCTCAAATTTTGGGTTTTGTATTTTTTTTTTTTTTTTTTTTTTTTTGTCGAAAGATGAGTTTTGTATTTAGTTTGTTTAGTTTTGAATGTTAAGTGTGATGATACTAGTTTCGAATGTTTTGAACTTGAATAGGATGTCAAGTGCCAGGGGTGCTTCAACATGTGAATTTTTATCCTTTTTTGCTGTTTTTGTTTAAGTATTTATTAAATATGTGCCAGGAAATAAGAGTATTTATTTGTTGTTTAAAAGTGAATGTAATCGAATATGTTTGTGCAGAACCACTATGCTCAGTCACTCGCAAACAGTTGTGGTGTGTGGGACCTGCCAGACTGTGTTGTGCCAGCCTATTCCAAAGGGGAAGGGACAGAAGGAACACAGTTCAAGAACTTGAAATCAAATTGGTAATTTGATGTAACGTGTCTCATTCCCTTCTTTCTCCTCCTCAATGTCGCTTCTTCATAGTCTACAAATCTCTGTCCACGCATAATAAGGCCCCGGTAATGTCGCAGACCACATGGGAATAGCAGCCGAGTCCCACCACTTGGAGTGGTCTATTGGTATCCCAAACAGCTGAGGAAGATCTGGTAGCAAGCGGAAGAAACCCGAGATCATCATTAGGATGCTCTGCATGCATAACCATTTAATTGAGGATACACCAGGAAGGATATACATGATGGGAAAGAGAAGGGGAAGCTTATCAAGCATTTGAGTGTATCTCATTACCATGATTCCAGCTCATGTTATAATACCCATTAGGAAATTTAATCTTTAGATTGAATAAAGTAAAAGAAAATGAAAATATAGAATGCAGAAGAAGAAAAAAGACATATAGAACATGGGTCCACTAACTATTTATGAAATTGAACACGAGCACACTATTTTTGAAATTGACTATTTATGAAACTGAACATGAGTACACTATTTCTGAAACTGACTATCTATAAAACTAAACATGGGTACACTAACTAAACACAGGTACACAATTTCTAGAACTGACTACACTGTTTCTGAAAATAATTACACTATTTATAAAACTGATTATTTATGAAACTGGGCACGATTACACTATTTCTGAAACTGACTATTTATGAAACTGAACACGGGTACACTATTTCTGAAATTGACTATTTATGAAACTGAACACGAATACACTATTTTTGAAATTGACTATTTATAAAAACTAAACATGGGTACACTAACTAAACACGGGTACACAATTTCTAGACCTGACTACACTATTTCTGAAACTAACTATATTTATAAAACTGACTATTTATGAAACTGAGCATTAGTACACTATTTCTGAAACTGACTATTTATTAAACTGAACACGGGTACATTATTTCTGAAATTGACTATTTATGAATCTAAACCAGAATAATACATATAATATATAGTATAATTTATATATAACAAATATAGTATTATAGCGCGTCAATTGAAAGAAATCAAATTGCGAATATAATTTCATGGATTTACAACTCAAATGCAACTAAGACTATTTATGAAACTAAGCCAACACTATTTATGAAACTGAACACTACTTATGAAACCGAAACAACACTATTTATGAAACTGAACATTTTCAGATGCAAGCTTTTTGGACATCTTAATGACCTCTTCCTTGGGACTGAGAAGTAATTGCCTCTGGCAGTCCATAGCGGACTTATCCCTTAAATCTCGGCAAAATTCTTTTCTTGGATAATCTTCTCCTGTTCCAAATCACTAAGGGCAGCAAGATAAGCCTTCTCCACCTCAAGACCACGGGTTTTCTCTGCATTCATTTTCTCATCCCAAAACTTCTGAATGTTTTCCCTATCGAGCATTTCGGACCTGATAACTTCCATCTCAGCCTTCCTTGCAGAATACCAAGACAAATCCCAGAAGGAAGGAATTGGAGAAGGCAAGAAATCAGTCTCTCTCTCCTCAATTCAATTATGCAGCTGATGCACATCTTCCAATCCCTTCCTTCTTTGAGCTACACAAAGTCGAAACCAAGAAACTTTTTCATGAGTAAATATGCCTCGGTTGTTGTTTAGCTTGGTTCAACGAGTAATACATTTGGTAAGTAAAGAGTAGATAATGTAATCAAGCTTAAGAAAAAGGGGTTCAAAGGATACAAAAATATTCCAGCAACAAACTCGTTACCTCAAGCGCAAATATAATTTTACTTTTTGTACTTCTCATTATGAAAAATTAAAAACTCATGGTTCATGCGTATTCTGTACTAGTATATAACACGAATAAATCGAAACCTACTGCAAAACATTAAGAAAACAAAATGGAGTACCTGAAGGGGAGGTGTAGTGGTCTCAAACAGCAAAGCATCAGGCTTGTTAACAAGAACATAAGATTTAGTCCACAAACAGCTCAACCCACACGGACACGAATACAAATTATCCAAATTATCAGTAATCCAAGTCCACACCTTCACCAACACGCTAACATGCTCCAGTTTCGACTCCCCCCATTCTGATTCGCAGTGAATTTGTTGCAGAACTGCAGCTGCTTGTGCTTCTCTTTCAAACGGGAGCAACCCACTTTGGCACCCCACTTCCTAAATGCGCCGATTAAATGGGTAAACGGGTCAGGTGCGGAATTCGAGGAAGCTGCATAAGAAGAGGATCGAGAATGCGCCGCTCATCATGAAGGCAATGTTGAAGGAGTTGAAGGGCTTTAATTGCATACATGGGTTGGTTGCAATCGGCGGCAATTTTAGCAGTTGTTTGTTATCTTTCTCCTCTCTTAAATGATCCAGCTATGAGATTTTCGAATGCTTCGCAAATTATAGTTTCATGACATGAATAAACTAACGGACAAATAACAAACAGAAAAAATAAAAAATCATCGGGGGTAAAATTGGAAACACATTAGATTATTTTTGCTGGGCCATGTTGATTGGACTGATTAAGTATTGGGCTTTGTCCTAACCATTAAATAAACTTATTATATGATTTTTGGTTAAAGTCTAAAGTTTTGAAGCCCTTTTCATTAGTTTTCATTTTAAAAAAAATGTTGCAAATTAAAAGTGGGTACAAACTAAAAATATAAATATATGATACAAAGTTTAGGCATGAAACAGAAATATACCATATATAATTTTTCTATCATTAATTAAATATACAATGTCACGTGACGGTATATATATGGGTACAAATACAAATAAAACTTAAAAAAATATGGGCACAAAAAGAAACTAATATATGGGTACAAATTAAAAATAAAAAGAAAATTGGTACAAATTAAAAAAATATTTGCAAATTAAAAATAGGTACAAACTAAAAATAAAAATATATGATAAAAAATTTAGCCATAAATATAAATATACTAATTGTAACATTTTTAACACTAAAAGAATATATTTAAAAATATAAATATTTTATTATTCAAATAATTAATGATGTTATTAATACCCAAAGACCTTGATAAAAAATTAAAAATGAATAGAATTTTAATCAATAGAGTAATAAAAAGAAGGATTTGAACCTAATTTCTCCTTGAATTTATTTAGATTACCTACATACTTAATTTGCCCTAAACCCTTCACTAAATTTTAGTAAACCCTAGATTCAGAGATAAGTTTAATCACCTTATTCTGTGAGTTACGCAGGATGAGGAATTTGAATCGTGGAGAGACATCATGGACATACCCTCCTTCACCAGTTTCTTTCTTTTTTCGGCCCCTCCTTCGCCCAAATCTTATAAATCGCGAAAAGCTGGCCCCATTTCTCAAAAATAGAACTTCTCAATCAAACGAAAAGAAAAAAAAAAACGTAATGTATATCATTGATTCAATTACAAAAACAAAAGGAAAAAAAAAGTATGTAGGTACTTAAATAATATTATGCTTACTAATATTTTTCGTGCACCATTACGTTTCTTGGCTTACAGCAACAACATGCATATGTTACTGATGAGAGACAAAGCCAACGAGAGCAATGGCAGGATCAACAACGTATGAGACATAATTCAATGAGTTCAAGGCAAAGACACGTTTATTTAGCATGGTGACGATCCAATTATCGTGTTCAACAAATTCATCGTTCAAACATAATGTTATTTGGTGGCGGTACCGATCAAGTTCAACACCCTAACATAGTACAATTCAATGAAGGCAGTAGCAATCATGTTGAACGACTCAACATAGTGCCGTTTGGAGAAGGCAACAACAATCAAGTTCCAAGAACAATGCGCTTAACTCATATAAGGCAAATTGCCCGATCAAATAGGAAACACTTGCCTTAGGATGGACTCATTCAAAGTTTCACTAATAATGGTAATTGCATAAACTACCATAGTACAACTTTGAAAAAGATAACTAGCAGTATCATCATTACTGTAAACACCACTTATTACCTTCCATTTCATTTTATTATAACAGAAAATACAACAACGCAATCATTCAATTTGAATACTCCAATGAATCATTTTTATCCACCCATCATCAATGAAGGTATCAGTTTTTGAATATTAATACCTACAATTTCAACTATGCTCACTAAATCATAAAACACCTTTAATGTTTCCTTTTTAAGCAGATGATTTGAATCTCATTAATGAAAATGAGATCCAGCCTAACGAGGACGTACCACCTCAATAGCATACTATGAGAACAATGCCAATTCATAATTGTGCTAGAAACCTTAATGAAAACATCGAAATCCCAAGATTTCACATGCCAAATCCAACCACATGTCCAGTGTTAGGGATTTTACCACACACGCAAATGGGTTAAAAACTCCTATATTACTTGCAAGAATGACAAGGTTATTGTAGTATAAACGGATCTCGCAATATCGCTCTCCACAGGGATTATTAAATAATTCGAAACAAACCAAATTCCAATTAATTATTGTAAAATAGATATTTGAGATAATTGATTTTTATGACCTAATTTAATAAAACGAATTTAATTAATAAAAATAAAACAATCTGCAATATTAAAGGTGAAAGAAAAAGAAAAGTTTTGGAGAAATCAAATTAAGAAAGCACTAGGGTTTCACTATCACCTAGCAATCCTATGAACTTTTACCAATCACTTATGATCTACACATGCCACTTTGAAGGTTAGGTTTTCCTAATTTATATTCTACTTGGAACCTCCAACATAGAACGTATATCTACCATGCAACCTGTCCGGACGTTCGGATCAAATTTGAACATGAGAGACTCATTATGGTTTATGAAAACCCTTTGAAAAACCATACAACCTTTAAGACGTGGTATTCATCTTAAGTGAAATTACAATTATTAACCACAAGAAGCCAGCGTCAATTTCAGGGAACCTTCCGACCAAAATTGCATCAAATTACTTTTCTAAAGATCCTAATGGTGATAAGATATTAAGACAATTAGATAGTTTTAACCACGGTGATTAAGAATTCAAAGTATGCAAGCAATCAATCATAAGCAATTAAATAAAAATTACATATTCATGCTAAGGCTCCAGGCTTAGCCCTAGCAAAAGGAATTAGTGATGCATATTCATAATTGAAGTCATATAAAATATTATTAAGAATAAAAGGAATGAAAACACCTTAAAGTAGAAAATCTCCAAGAACCCTAGCAATTAATCTCTGTCTCCAAAGTTGCATAAAAGAAAGCGTCGAGAAAAACTGTGGATGACAAAGCAATATATGTTGCTATGCCATCACACAAACCCTAAAAACCAAGTCCTTTATTCCAACCAGGAAACTAAGAATAATAATAAAATATCTTAGAAAATAAAATTCTAATTAAGCTAGGAGAATCTGCCAAGTAATTGTCCAGCCACGTTTTAGTCTCAATATCCTCCAAATCTGGCCCATGATAGCTTGTTTTGAAGATTGGGACATTCTGAACATATCTCTAGAAGGCCACGAACCCATCCGAGGTCATCTTGGACTCCAAAACCGCAAGTCAAGCCCAAAATATCACTATTCCAACACTGCGCATTGCTCCTTTATTTTATTGCCAAAAAATCATCGCTTGGTAGACAAATCTGATATTTTGATACGATCAAGCTAACTGACTCACGAACGTCCTCCAACTAGAATTACTCTAAAATTCCTCTATTCAATCATGTTTTGCTCCAGAGAAAGTCGGTTGTCCTATATTGAAAATATAAATCAAAGTATCAAAATTCTACCAAATAATTACCAAAACATACTAAGAATAGGGTAAAATATACAATATGAAATTGACTCATCATCCAGATTGTCATGCTCGTTTGTTCTCTCATGAAACATCTGAAATGTGTTGCTTACGTGGAAAGCTTGCTCTACCATTGACATTGTCCCCTCCTGAGATGACTGAGCTCTTTTGCAACCAATCTGCCGAGGGAAGACATTTTAGGCAGAATATCCGAGCTTACAACCACATTTTTGCCTTCACTTTAATGGGAGTTCATGTTGACGAAAACCTAGCAACAGGAAGATGGGTATTTACACATTTCGTGCTTAAGGTTCCATATATCAAAAGATTGGAAGTCTCTTGCCTATTAGAGATAGTAGACCGAGATTCCTACAAATGTATATATATGACACATCTCATGAAATAGACTCAGATGAGAGAAAGTGAAGCACAAAACAGAGATGTGGTTGAAAAAATCCAACAAATCTTGAATCAATATAATCCATTTGTGCAAACATTTCACCACCTTGTGCAACGTCAAGATTTGCAAGGTTGTAGATTGATTATCAAGGAACAGCCCGCGAATCAACGACAATATTGTATACCGTCTGCATCTTAGGTTGCTGCAATCATAGTAGGTGGTGAAGGATCAGAGAACATTAAAGGTTGAGACATTGTTGTGCAAACTACAGATGGTCAACTTAAGAGTATCAAAGACTGTGTAGGCTATTATGACCCCTTACAATATCCATTGTTGTTACCTTATGGAACGTATGGATGGGATGTGAATACTTGAAATAACAACCGCAAAAAAGTGACGTTTGTGACTATTATTCGTATGTTCTTCAGGTAACCTAAGACCTTCATCTCTATCAATACAATATTAATTTTTAAAACTTATATTATGTTGAACAATGAATTTTATCATTTTAGATCCGTCAACACGATAAATCGCTTCTACTTTGTGGTGGCCGCCTATTATAGGTATATGTAGTTGACAACTGCGTAAAGATCGAATCACAAAAGCTTAGATGGATGTGTGATAATCAACACACAATTCAATTTGAATTTTATCGAGGACTACAAGACTCATTAATTGCAGGACAAAATAATGCAGGTAGGAAGCTAATCAGTTTATAATTAAAACATATATTCTTCATGTTCATGTTCAGTCACATTAAATGAGACTTATTAATGGGTTGAAACAAAACAAACATATTTAGACTTATTAATGACTTATAACAAAACATATACAGGAGATGTTGGTTGTTCTAGGACTATATTACCATATCTTTTGTTGGTAGTCCCCGTGACATGTATCAAAGGTATCAAGATACAATGACTTTGGTTCAAAAATATGGAAGACCAGATATTTTCCTAACAATGATATGTAATCTAACTTGGGAAGAAATAAGTGATGAACTAGTACCTGGCCAAGCACCACAAGATCGACCAGATTTGTTTACAAGGGTTTTTCGTGCAAAATTTGAAGAGTTGAAGAATGATGTTATAAAAAAAAAGGTGTTTTAGGTAGAGTTCTTGCATATGTATATGTCATTGAGTTTCAAAAGTGCAGTCTCCCCCATATTCACATGCTTCTCATGTTAGAAGAAAATGATAAGCTTAATAGTTCAGATGATTATGATCAGGTGGTACGGGCTGAAATACCAAATCCAAATGAAGAGCCTAAATTGTATGGTGCCGTGTTAAGGCATATGATACATGATCCATGTGGAATACACAATTCACGGTCACCCTGTATGAAACGTGGTAGTTGTAAACGAAATTATCCTAAGCCATTTGCACCAACTACAGTTCAAGGAAATGATTCTTATCCAGTCTATCGTAGAAGAGGCAATCATGATCCAGTCCCATTAGATCATAATGCATGTATAATGGTGGATAATCGGTAGGTCATTCCGTATAACTCATGGCTATCCTCAGATACGATTGTCATATTAATGTTGAGATTTGTTGCAGCATTAAGAGTGTTAAGTATCTGTACAAATATGTTTATAAAGGTCTTGACTGAGTAGCTTTTGAAGTCCATCATGAACCTATTCAAGATGAAATAAAGCAGTTTGTTGATGCAAGATGGGTTTGTGCACCTGAAGCTTTATGGAGAATATTCAAATTTGTAACTAATCGACTTTATCCATCAGTGGAACGATTACAAATTCATCTTCTTGAAGGACAAACTATTCATTTTTACCCTCACCAAAGAGTAGTAGATATTTTGGCAGATGACACAAACTCGATGACTATGCTGACAAAGTTTTTTTACCAAGAATACCACTTGCCCGGAAGCACAACGATACTTATACCGGGAGTTCCCTGAACAATTCAAATGGAGTCAAAGAGATAAACTCTGGAGTGAGAGGATGAATAACCATAAAGTTATTGGCTGGATATATGCAGTCTCGCCGAATGAGGGTGAAAAATTCCACTTACGCATCCTTCTTAATCATGTTAGAGGATCAACATCATTTGAGAATTTAAGAACAGTTAATGACATCGTACAACCAACATTTAAGAAGGCAGTACAACAACGAGGTTTGCTAGAAGATGATGATAGCATTAGACGATGTCTTTGTGAGGCCTCTAACATTCGAATGCCGTCAGCTTTGCCAAGGTTGTTTGTTACCATCTTAGTTTATTGTGATCCACATGGAGTAAGAAGATTGTGGGATGAATTTCATTCATTTATGGTAGAAGATTATTATGTTTCAAGTATTACAAATAATACTTCTATCTTGAACAAGCTTTTGCAAGACTTGAATGGGCTATTAGTGCAACATAGTAAGTCTGTATCTGATTATGATCTACCCCAAATAACACAAGATTATGTTAAAGACAACACACTTCCAAGGATAATACAAGATGAAGTTTCACTTGACATCTCTGAAGCAGACCACAATGTGGTACAAAATCTAAATGAAGACTAAATGGCAGCATATAACTCGATTGTGTCTGCTATTGAACAACGAGACAATGCCATATTTTTTTGTGAATGGTCCCGGAGGGACAGGAAAGACATACTTATATCGTGCTTTGTTAGCAACCTTAAGGAGCAAAGGTCATATTATATTGGCAACAACAACATTTGGAATTGCAGTAACCATATTGTTAGGCAGAAGGACAACACATTCTAGATTTAAAATTCCCCTCAGTCTAGATGCATCTTCCACGTGTTCTATTAGTATTCAGCCAGATTTGGCAGAATTGATAAGAAAAACATTAGCTGTTGTCTGGGATGAAGCACCAATGGCACACAGGTTTGCATTTGAGACTCTCGATCAAACGTTCAAAGATATAATAGGCGTTAACCTGCCATATGGAGGAAAGGTCATGATCTTTGGAGGAGATTTTCGACAAGTTGTTCCAGTTGTTCCAAAAGGTACAAGGTCTGAATTGATGTAAGCAAGTATGATTAATGCTTCATTTTGGGAATACGTGAAAATCATTCGTCTTAGGCACAACATGAGATCCATCAATGATTAAGATTTTTCAGAGTTCTTACTTCATGTCAGTAATGGGGAACAAGAAACTATGATAGACGACATGATGCAATTACCATCATCTATGGTCATTCCATGGAATGGTGAAGAATCCATTGTCCAATTGGTTAATGAAGTTTTCCTTGATTTAGAATGTCATGTATGTGATGCAAGATACTTGGTAGAAAGAGCAATTATAACACCAAAAAATGAGGATGCTGACAAACTCAATAAAATGATCATCGATAAGTTTTCGGGGACTGAACATATCTTATACTCTTTCGATTCAGTTGAGGACGATGTGAGAAATTTGTATCAACAAGAATTCTTGAATTCAATCTCATCTGGTGGAATGCCCCTTCATTAGTTAACTTTGAAAAATCCAAAGATGGGTTGTGCAATGGTACAAGACTGGCTTGCCATGGAGCTTACAATAATCTAATTGATGCCAAAATCTTATCTGGACAATTTGTTGGAACTAGAGTGTTTTTACCAAGAATCTCTTTAAAGACCACATAAAGCACAGGACTCCCATTTGAAATGATGAGAAAACAGTTTCCAATGAAATTGAGTTTTGCACTAACTATAAATAAATCACAAGGCAGACAATACCAAATGTGGGTATTTATCTACCATATCACGTATTCAGTCATGGACAATTGTACGTGGCTTTATCAAGAGGAGTTTCAGCGTTTACAACAAAAGTCTTGGTAAAGAAAGGAGAATTACACGGTCACGAAGGAGTCTTCACAAGAAATATTGTGTACAAAGATATTTTGCTTCCCTCGAATTCAACATAAGGTTACATTCTTTCTTTCAACGTTTAATTCCCTTTTTCAACTTTTAATGCAATTCAATTACAAAAAATGCTAATATTTGATTTTAACCAAACACATTATATTTTCAACAGGACAGAACGATATGAATTCATGATATGTTTTGTTGTCAAGTGTATCAGGGTCAATTGAAGTTCTTGGATTGTTTTTATACTTTTTATTTAGATTTTAGTTGCAACTAAATTATAAGGATCTTCTTTGTTACTTATTACTTTTTTTTTTAACATATTCTAGACAAAATACTTCTAATTCCTGCCTGTATTATTAGAGATGATAATCGCCTTTATTTTATGTCTTTATACATTGAACCAATCCTCGCATATAAATACATCTAAAATGTGTAACTGTGATTAAAAAAGTATCTTTTGCACGCACGTGAGAACACCGTAATAGGCACTGCTGTGTGTGAGAGAGTATCCATGTCAACAGCTTCAAATTTATTGCTTCTAATTATGTGTAGCCATCTTCTAGATTTCATGCTTCACTTTCATACTTAATATCATACTTTCTAAAGCATATACTGTTTGCACTCAAAATATACCCATTTTTACTTATTTGGGCAATTTGGGTAAAATATGGCATTTGGAGGATTAATATGCAAGAAAGCTAATTTGGAAAGATATTTAGATGCAAGTGGAGGAGTTTGACACTATAATATTGTTCTTCCAATTTGTTTGGGTGGTGGAGGTTTGTCAAGCCTTTGTTTAATCAACAAATTGCATGCTTGCAAAATGGTTGGAAGGCAACATACGGATGTGGATGCAAAGAACATGTGAAAGAAGCCAACTTGCTTCTTTTAATTGTTAGTCTATTACAAGTGGGAAAATATGTGCTAAAAACATGTGGTGGAGATGCAAATTCCCCTTTTAATATTGTTTCTACATGCAAGTTGGCAAATGCAATGCAAGCTACCCAAGCAATGAAATGCAAGCTGCCCAAGTTTCTTTCGGGCAAGTACAAAACCTCAGCAGGAGGGTTTCCTCCAGACCTCTATATAAAGGAGCCCAAGCACAAGGATTATGGACACTCAATCAAACAAACAAATGCAAGCATAAACTCTGCTTAAAGCCAGATTTGCCTTCAAAACGAAGCTGTAGTCAGCCCATCCACGACAGTCCTTGATAAACGAGAAGTCCGAAGTTACTTGGGGCGCAAGTAATCGACCTACCCTTTAGTTTTATTTCTATTATATTATGATTATCATAGAACGCTTGAGCATGGAATGAATTCTGATGGGAAGCCTCAAGGCCTACACATAAGGCCCCACAAAGGCACCCATTTGGATTCATTCCGTTTTGCGATCTAGAGAGTTTGAGTATAAGAACGAATTCTGATGGGAAGCCTCAAGGCCTACACCTAAGGCCCCACAAAGGCACCTATTTGGGTTCATTCTACCTCTCGGACTCGGGTAATCAGAAGTATAATAGTTATAAAACTCCTGCAATCACAAGAACAAATATGATGTGTTCGAGCACTGGTTTAGTTATTGATGGGAAGCCTCAAGGCCTACACCTAAGGCCCCACAAATGCACCTGTTATAACTAACACGGTTTCTCAGATATATACATATATACAACTAAAACTCGACATCCATTTTACATCTGCCATGCTGAAGATGGCAGTGGCACGCCTGAGCACCTAAAAGTTAACCTTGATTGTGAGCCTCAAGGCCTACACCTAAGGCCCCACAAAGGCACTTCTCAAAGTTAACTCTGTCCTTCTCTTTCAGCCTTACCCGACGAGCCTTGCCCGAAGAGTCTTGCCCGACAAGACTTGCCCGACGAGACTTGCCCGACGAGACTTGCCTGACAAAGCCCGACAGTGAAGCAGAAGCCCGACAGCAGCCCTCAAACGGCGCCAACCTCCCGGGGAGCTGTGTGCTCGTCGGCCAGGAAACATCCCCGACGGAAATTCCTGACGCGAACATATACATTGACAATTACAATGGAAAAAAACTAACACAATACACATTTAGGGGCGTGTAGTACCCCTGATGCAAAAACGCACATTAGTGCGTGAGAGGCTAATTTATTTGTACATGGATGGTTTAGATTTTTTTTGTTGATTAATCTCCACCCTTGACTTTGTTTGCCACTAACACTCCATTTTCCTTGGATGAAGGGACCACTTTCATTTATTAATAATACTAGAAGCAGTACACAGTACACACACTGAGTGTGTAATTCAAAATTTTAAAAATGAATTTTTTTGAAGGTCAGAATTGTAAAAAGAATTTTTCTGATGGTGCTCCCAGTGATACTCGGCCAGTTGGCAGTGATGAAGGGGGTCGAGCACCATCAATCGTCGGTGAAGGATGGTGAAATTGGAGAGCGAAGAGGGAGGAGTTCCAACGGTGAGGCTTGAAAATTGGAGCAAGAAGGTTTTGTTATTATTTTTTAATTATTTTATTAATAAAAATCGTTGAGTAAAATCGTAAATATCCACAATTACCGCATAAGATGGTATAAAATTATAGTATATTTAGATGGTCTTAATGGTTAAACTCACATTAAAATGCATGAAGGGGGGCCCACACTTTTGTTTGTCCCACCAATTGCTTGTATCATGGCAACACGGATAGCACAGAGAAGCCAGAACCGGTCCAGGACGGTTACACACATACGGCCCAACGGTTAACGAACTCACCAACAGCTGACCAAAATTGAAAACAAAATTATTGAACGAAACAAAAATCCCCCAGGTTAGTCTTTCTTCTTCTTCGTCGTCGTCGTCGTCTTCTTCTTATTCTCTCTGTAACTCCGTAAGCAATTTCTGAAAGCTCGGCAAACCAGACAAAACCCTAGCAGCCTGGGTCCACGCTCGACCTTGCTTGGCGCTGAAGCTTTTGAATTTTCAAGGGATTTGACTCGGATTTTGCGGTAATTTGATTTTGGTCGGAGTTTCGTTGTGCTTTTAGTGGATTAGGGTTGGGATTCTAGGGTTTCCGGGAACAAAGATGAAGGCCTTGAATAGCATAGAGGATCTGGTCGAGGAGATTAAGATTCGAGTGGTTTGGTGGGCCCTGTTTGTCTTCTGTGTTACATACTTTCTTTCCTGTAAGTGCTCCAATTTCATAGAATTTGGGTTTCTGGATTCTGTGTTTATATTTTTCTACAAATTTGATGTAATTTATGAAATTTGACGCTTTCTCGAGAAGGGAGGGGGAGGAGTTTGATGATTTCTCATTGTATGGAAGTTGTGTGGTTCAAAAAGATCTTTTTGTTCCAAGAATTAGGAATCAGTTGCTAACTGACGATTCTCCGTTTCGCTTCGAAGAGAAAAAAATTAAGTGAAAATGCATTGATTTTGGTTATATTTTTCCTGATTTCTTCAACATGTATATAGTAAACTTAGCGAAATCAATGTGGTTGGATTTTCACTCCCAGAAGTGTTTTTCCTGACTCCATTTCTTTTGTCCTTCATTGCAGATTCGAGTAAATCAATGTGGATGAATTTACCCATATCAATTTTATTGGTTTCAATGCTACGGATACTAATGAATAACGTGGAATTCCGTTGGAAGAGTCAAAAACTTGTTCGTCCACAATCATATTTGTCTCATTTGGAGAAGAAACAGTTGTCATTGAATGATCCACGACTCTCTACTGGGACTCCACCACCAAAATGGAAAAGGAAAATTGGTTCTCCAATCGTAGAGGATGCAGTTAAAGATTTCATTGACAAACTTTTGAAGGATTTTGTGATTGATTTGTGGTATTCAGATATTACTCCGGACAAGGAGGCGCCAGAGCAGATACGCGCGATAATCATGGATGCTCTGGGTGAAGTATCCGGAAGAGTTAAAGAGATAAACCTTGTTGACTTGCTAACAAGGTACCCCTTCTGTTTCTTGTAGAAGTGAACCATTTGCAAGTTGTTATGAAGCTTTTATCGTTAAGGCAACATAATTAATGGTTGTTTTATGTTTCAGGGATATTATTGATTTAATAGGGGATCATATAGAACTTTTTAGAAAAAACCAAGCTGCTATAGGTGTTGATGTTATGAAAACGTTGTCTTCAGAGGAGAGAGATGAAAGGTTAAAACATCATCTCATGGCTTCGAAGGAGCTCCATCCTGCAATGATTTCACCCGAGAGTGAGTACAAGGTGTGAGTGGATTGTTCTAACAGAAATTAGTTTTATTTTTGGATTTTATCTCTTGCATATGTCTTCCATAGGCTGATGGTTATATCTTCAATAGGTTCTTCAGCGGCTAATGGGTGGGGTATTAGCTGTGGTGTTAAGACCACGAGAAGCTCAATGTCCAGTGGTTAGATCTATTGCCAGAGAACTTCTAACAAGCTTAGTAATTCAACCTGTTTTGAGTTTTGCAAGCCCTGGGTATGTTATATTATATTTATGATTGAGTTATCATTCTTTTGTTGTGTTTTCTTATTATTTTTGCCTAGAGGGTGTTAAATTCTTTTAAAGGGATTGTCAAGCATCAAACTGACCTTTTGTATCTAGCATTTAGTATCTATTGAGACGATGGCCTGGGTTAATCCTTATTTCTTGTCCTGGTTTTTTAA